TATGGAACAAGCAGCCTGGCGATGGCAGCGTGAGATATTAAAATTTAGGTATATAAAAATAAGGTTTTCAAATGAGCATTTTTTATTTTTTATTTATAGATAGTTTATAAAAATGATTACATCTAAGTACACACAAAGCTATGTTAGATAAGCATCATGATACAATTCTATGAATATTGTATTAATATCGATCGAAATAATCTACTTCTTTTTTTGATTATTCCCACGAATATTTTCTAAAGATATAAGTTAATTAACATCAATTATTTCTACTTATTAAAATATGAGACCCTGTAAATATCAGTTTCTACTATTTGTTCTTTCAGATATATTAATATAATTTAACTTATTTATTCCGTTTAGTTTCATCAGAACTGTAAGTGATTAAATCACCAGAAAAACTATAGTAAGCAGATGAAAATATGGTAAGTTCATCTTTTATTTTATGACATAAATGAATAAGTTTAAATATTTGTTTAACTGTTAAAATGTAAATATTTTAAATGAAGTCACGACTTCACCTCGAATTCAGACACAACTGAAAATCGAGAGGAGCTGACAGGGATGCCCCAGCAGTCGTCACGAGTCCCCCCGCAAACCCTTCTTCCTCTCAAGGACCCACTGCAGTCTGATCCCAAAACATTTTTGCCCCATTCCTGGGTTTTCAGCTACCCGGAACACGCAGCATATTGCAGATGCTTAAACACAAAGCTTCAACTGAACGGGGAGAGGGGCGGAAAAGAATCACAGTGAAGCTTCCCCACACAGAAACACACGCACAAGCGGCTTACATGGTTGTATGTGTGTGTGTGTAATCATACAAATGTGTGAGTGTTGGGGGCGCACATAAATTGCAATCGGAATATCAAATTGGCAGTTGGAGGGAGAAAAGGGGGAATAGGGGGAAAAACAGGACGAGAGCAAGGACGAGGACTCAGCCCTCGACTATCGTTTGTTTCTCCTGTTCGTTGTGATTTTATCAATTCAATAAAAACCAAATAAAATCAGTACAAATGCAAATACCATTAATGTATTGGGTTTAACTTTGTTTTGTTTTCGATTCTTCCCTTTTTTTTTTACTCCCGTAGCCTCGCATTCGTACATTGTTTTCTTTTTCGAGCGGAGTGGGTCGTCCATTTGATGCAATATTTTCATATTTATTTATTATTATGTACATATATTTTTTTGTATTATTTACGCTCTTGTGCCTTTTTATAGTTGACTGGGGACGACAATATGCGAGCTGCAGGGTCGGAAAATAATTTAAAGATTTTACGCAGCTTACAAAAGATGTAAATTCAAATGGGGAAAGTTGGGAGGCGATTAAAGGCAGAGTTTTTAATGGTTTTTCATGACATATATTTAAAAGGGAAAAGCAAGCTATATAATATATTTGTTTGTAAGATTCCCATTCTGTAAAAGTTTTATGAAATAAGGAAGGAACCTGTTCTTTTAATCCCATTTTCTGTAACAAATGTCTAATAATTATGAAAGTAATTAATTTATTTTGCCCAAGCAATATCTCGCTTAGCCACCTGATAAATTCCACTTATGAAACTCCATGCTATCCTATTAAACTGCAATCATGGCAAACTAATTTGTTTTCCTCCAACAAATACCAACAGATGCCAAAGAAAAATTGGTCTAGCATAATGAACTTTTAGCGTGCGTGTGGTAGATTTTCCTTTGGGGTGGGGAAAATCGCTCACCTTTCGACGCTCACTCAACTGCCAAGAGCAAGGGCACAATTCAATTATTGTTTTATAATTAATATTTTGCACATCAAAATCGCATCAGCAGCAGCTGGGAAGCTGCCGCTAATTTTCACGGACGCCTCCCACGCACTTATGGGCGTGGCACACGCAATCCAAGGACTCGGGGAAAAATCGTTGGGAAAAACAGGGGCAGCTGGAAAAATCGTAGTGCGTTGCGTGTGGCACACAACACAAAGCAACGAAAAAATAAAGATAAATTAGGCTGGGAAACTGTGTTTGTTGGATAAATGATAAGCAAGATAATTAATTCAAGCTTCGAGGCCGATGAGTAATGATGAAATGAAATGTTTGATACTAATAAACATGATATACCCAAGCATTACACTGGTGCACTTTCCGTTTTGATAAATTAGTATTCAGAGAAAATTAAATAAATAAAAGCTACAAAGTATTCTTTCCAGCCAAACATTAAATTTAATAGAATTTTATTACAATTAGTACATTTACTTTGTTAGATTTTCTAACTATAAACTCAATTTAAAAATCTTAAAGGTGCTTAAATATGTTATGCTACATTGGCAGTTAAACCATCTTAAATATAATTTAAACAATGCAAATAGCTTATGGTCTGGTGCGCAGAAAGAAAGGGTTATTGTTTTAAATTACCAAATGAAAATATTCGCTGTAGCAGAGTCTGAGACCATGTCTATCCTAAAATGAAATTAAAATCCAATCTAGCATATAATAATTGCCTTCTATATTTCAGGGCTTTGTCTTACATCGTATGCAAAAGCTAAAAATCCCGGCAGTAAATCAAACCCTTCTTGGTTTGCCCTCTGAACAATGTCAACTTTTATGCAAATCACTTTGATGGTGCATTTAAACTCAATTAAAAGCAAAATATTTACTCGATAGCCCCAAGATTAATAACTTTTTAAGGACTCCTCTCTGGCAGGGACAGTTCGGATTGAGATAGCTGGGGATAGTCAGGCAAAAAAGATTAATCTCGTTAAACGGCGAGGCGTGCCAAGTGAGTTGGGCAGTCGGAAAGTGGTATCCACTCTTTGCATCTGGGCAAACTTTGCGTGCTGCAAGAGTGTTGCACGCCTCTTCTCGAGGCAATCAGGCCAGGATGAGAAGGTCCTGGAGCTGCCACTCCTCATACATATATAATTATTCCTTAGCCTGGCCAAAGGCTCCTGTCCCGAGCTTCTGTTCCTGCTGCTCCTGCTTCTCCTTCGACTTCGGATGGCGTCAACTCCCAGTAGTAAACTTAATTATATTGTCGTAACTTTAAATGTCATTTGGCCATTGTCTGCGACACATGAAAGAGCCAACAGCGTTCGGAAGTGCACTTAGAGAAAGTTGGGATACATATTTGGTTTTTTTTTTAATTTTTGGAATTTAAATTATGATTTTGCTTTTACTCGGCTTACAAAAATTTTCTTTTATATTTAATAAAAAAAAGGTTAAAAGCTCAAAATTAATGTAATGTAAAATATAAAAATTCTCTGAAGATTTATATCGAATTATTTTATTTAACTAAAATAACAACCATACATATTTTAATTCTTTATTTAAGAATTTTTATTTTAAAGTCTTATATTTTTGAAATAGTTATTGGAAAAATTTTAATTTCAATATTCAAATATTTTTCATTATTCATTACATTTAAACTCATAATATAATTCTACATCCATATTAAGCTTTTCTGAGTACTGGGGATTGAAAACCTACTAGAAATAAAGCAGATTTATTAATTTTACATATTACAAATAACTTTGCTCTGTGTTATAATGAGTGGCAAGAAGGGTACCATAACCGAGACTGGGACAAATCAGCTGCGGTACGTGGCCGACTGGCTGGGCAACCGCATTGAGATTCATGTGGCAGAGTCCTGCCGGTTAGGCAGCGCGTGCCGCTCCGTCGGTCCGGGTGGTGCCTCGTCCTGGTCCGACTTGCCACTTGGGGAATGGGTCAAGGAACTTGAAATCTCAACATGCGTTTGCGTCATGATATTTGCCAGCATCCGCCCTCCGCTCGCCACTTCCTCCTTTAGCTGTAAATATGCTGAAGAATATAATTCATCTGGGCAAAAGATAATGCCGCACAGCTGTAAAATATGGCACTACGGACTCATATGCCGCCTCTAGACTTCCGTCCTCCCCCCACCACCCTTCTCACCAAGACCCATTCACAGACAATGACCGCTGTTGGCTTTAAATTCTCATTATTATTTTGCTCATGCAACTGAATTTCAGCGAATAGCAACATCAGAAACATCAACAATGTGATGGGAAAAACCAAACTGACCAGTTTGCCACATTGAAACTTTATTGAGAGGCTGATTATAGGCAAGAAATCTCACGTAGCCAATAAAATAATAACGTAATGCAGCAAATTGTCTCCGATTTAATTGCCTGCATTCAAATCAAGTGATGAGCAGAGACATCAATCTCAGGAATAACAACATATCATACGAGTAATGTTGAATGGTTTTAAGGGGAAATCAAATTTTAATTGCCAAACAGGTTCTTGGATTCAGAGGAAAAAGTCAGATAAGATTGTTTTATTAAATAGGTATTTTTAAGTTCAGCTTAGTATTTTTTAAGCTCATGCCCTAATATATTGATGGTAGTAATATTTTATTTAATTAAGATAAGGAATTATTTTTAAATTAAAATGTATTAGCATTTATATTTGGATGATCATTGTGTTTTAATGTGATTATTTTGAATTCTGGCCATTATTTAAGATAATTATATCTTTGAAATGTGTAGATAATGGTAATTGATATTTTATAATTTCGTTTAAAATACAACTCTGAACATAAATGTTTTTCTTATCTTAAAACTGATATAACGCCTTACAACTTAAATTAAAATGGAATGACTGATTTAGACCGCAAACATTGTCCTTGACCCCTTATATTTTTAGGCTTGTTGCCGGCAGCTTAACTGAGTGTTTGTTCGCTGAAAAGTTATCCGCAAATCCCCAGCTAATTCTAGATTCCCAGTGACTCAGTGAACTCCAACTGGCGTGGAGTACGTGATTAGAATGCCGGAGAAGCGCTGCTCCAAACATGGTCTTATCCAACTGCAGGCACGCAAACAAGGCGGCCGCAAAAGTTTAAGTTTTCGCATCTCGTTTTGTTTTTTATATTATTTGTGATGATTTTTTTGTTTTCGCTTATTCGCTTATTTTATTCCACTTGTTTATCGCCAAGCTGAGCAAGTGCCTGGCCTCGCTCACTTTTGACTTGGGGCTTCAAATTATAATGCCAGTTAGAGCTCAGTTCCCAGTTGACAATCGAACGAAGCGAAATGCAAAAGCAGCTGAAGCGGAACACTTGGTTGCTACTCTTGATAGTGACCTTGGTGGCCTGTGAATCGGGCGGAGAATCGCACAGTCGAGTGAAACGGATAGTGGGTGGCAAGCAATCGAAGGCTCCGCCTGTCGATGATCCTGTGATCTTCGCGCGCATCTTTAATCGCGATGCTCGAGTCGAGGGCTTTCGGAATCCCAATACCGGCATCTACAGTTTCCTGGGCATGCACTATGCCGAACCTCCATTGGGACCTCTGAGGTACTCCAGACCGGTCTACAAGAGATTGGGTGGCGATTTCAATGCCACAAAACATGGACCACCTTGTATCCAGCCGCATCCGCAGTTTCGTCAGCGAATCATTGGCAACGAGGATTGCCTGCTGCTCAATGTCTACACTCCGCAGATGCCGGATGAGACTACCGGACTGCCCGTCTTCGTGTGGATCCATCCGGGTGGCTATCGATATGGCTCGGCGGCACAGTACGATGCCACGCCCATGGCCCAAAGGGGCGCAATTGTGGTGGCCCCTCAATATCGCCTGGGATCCCTGGGAATCATGGGCGATGGCACCAAGCAGTTCGATGGAAACCTGGCCATGTTCGACCTAGCCGCTGCACTCCGTTGGGTCACCGACTACATCCAATATTTCGGCGGAAATCCAAAGCAGGTTCAGGCCATAGGTCACGGATCGGGAGCAGCCAGTGCCATGTATCTCTCCATGTCCCAGACGGCCAAGAGTGCCGGCGATGTCCACGGAGTGGTGGCCATGTCCGGAACGGCACTCTCGCAATACGCCATGGACAAGGAACCCGTTCAGAGTGTCCAGGAGGTGGCCAAAATCAATGGATGTCCCACCGGAAACGAACTCGAGATCGTCAACTGCATGAGAGGGGTGAGTACGAAGTACATTTTCAATACCACAATCATTTAAAATCTGATGGCTCCAAGAAAATTTATGGGCTCAGAAGTGCAGTTTTTTGACCCTTTTCTGCAAAGCCATTTTTCGAAAATTTGGAAAGGGGTTGGCATTATGAAAATGACCAAAAATTACAAACCAAACTGAATATGCAGTTTTTTAGAGAATTAAAACACAATTATTTAGAAGTATGCCACTTCGAAATCGGATGTCTGCAAAAAAAGTTATGGGCTAGGAAGTGCAGTTTTTGGACACTTTTCGGAAAAGCCATTTTTCGAGAATTTGGAAAGGGGTTAGCATTAAAAAATGACGAAATATCGACCCAAAATTACAAACCAAACTGAGTGCACAGCTTGTTAGAGAATTAAACCACAATCATTTCGAAGTATGCCACTTTGAAATCGGATTTCTGTAAGAAAAGTTATGGGCTGAGAAGTGCAGTTTTTTGACACTTTTCTGGAAAGCCATTTTTCGAGAATTTAGCATTAAAAAATGACGAAATATCGACCCAAAATTACAAACCAAACTGAGTATACAGTTTTTTATAGAATTGAACCACAATTATTTAGAAGTATGCCACTTTGAAATCGGATTTCTGTAATAAAAATTAAGGGCTCAGAAGTGCAGTTTTTTAACCATTTTTGTAAAGCCATTTTTCAAAAATTATGAAATGACCAAAAATCGACCCAAAATCACAAACCAAACTGAGTATACAGTTTTTTAGAGAATTAAACCACAATCATTTAGAAGTATGCCACTTCGAAATCGAATGTCTGCAAGAAAAGTTATGGGCTTAGAAGTGCAGTAAAGGGCTAACATCGTTGACAGAAACTTTTTATTATTTACTTATATCTTTCATCGATGAGATCATAAAATATTTACTATTGTTTCTTTTAAAAATTTCAGAAAAGTGCCGAAGAGATCATCAAGAATGATGACAAAGTGCAAACTGAGCGTTTGGCAGGACGTGCTCTAGTGAAAGGACTGACTGGAAATGTGGGCTTCCAACCTCACATCGAAAGCGAGGATGATGGTAGGGCATTGCCAAGTCTGATAGTTGGTGAGCCGGAGCAGCAGCTCAAGAGTAGCAATTTCTCGGGGATTCCCCTGCTAACCGGAGTTACCAAACACGAGACAGCCAACTCAGTAACAGTGGAAAGTATAGAAAAGATCTTTGGATCAGCGGAAAAGTTCTTGGGGTCCCTCAGTGATTCTCTGAACAAGTTAACTGGCTTTCTGAAAATCGATAAGTTAACGGGGCAGATTGCCAAGCCGGAGTTACCAGGGCTAACAAGTGTTCTAACTCCAACTCTTCAGGATGTGTGGAAGGTTCCCCAAGCCCTGAATGTGGATCAAGTTTTGTCCAAAGTTGTGGAGTCCACAACTGATGTGCTATTTAATCTTCCAGCTGTTCTTACTACCCAAGTCTGGTCTAAACTAGCTCCAGCTTTTATGTACAGCTTCGAGTATAATGGCACCAAATCAAAGGGTATCAACTTCCTCAAGGGTCTTCCCATTGTCTCGGAAACAGCTCACGATAAACCAGAAACTGTGAGTCATGGTGATGAAATCGGCTATATGTTCGATGCAAATGATATTTTCGGAAATCCCTTGGAGCACACACGTTTGACAGCCGCTGAGGATATTAAAGTTCGCAATAACCTGATCGATCTTCTGGTGCAGTTTGCCAATAGAGACAAGGACGAGGGTAGCAAAAGTTCATCACTTTTCCAGAGTGTTACCGGAAAAGCCACGCCTTTCATCAAGATAGACACCAAACTGGAGACCTCCAACGACTTCCGCTTCTGCGAATTGTCCGTTCTGGGTGCCTCGCTGTCTCCTCTGACTTCCACTAGCTGTGCGGGATTGGGTAATCTTCTGGGCCAACTGGGAGGAGGATTGGGCCAGACTTTGGGCGGAGTGGGCAACACACTGGGATTGGGGGGCCTTGGTGGAGGTGGAGGTGCTGGTCGTGGTGGAAATCGGGGCGGAAAACCAGGAGGTGGTGGTCTCGGATTGGGCATTTTGTAGGGCTTATGTTTATGGAGAGCAAAACAAGTTGTGAAATTTACTTAATTGTTAGAGCTTTAAAAATGGAAAAGAATAATAAAAATATTTTAAAATTTTAAAATGTTTTTTTGTTCATAATAAAGTGTCCTACAGAGTCTGTAAATATCTTATTTTCAAAAATAAATAAAATATACAAAACATGATAAAGTGAAAGGCTTAAGCCCTAAACAAGTTCTCTCTTTAATTTTGTGTGCATAAGTTGGTCTACTGATTTCTATTGATTTAAGCCTACGAATTTTAAAATTGTATTTTCTCACTCAATAAAGTGTCCAACAGAGTGTTGCTAATTTCTTAAAATTTATTTGACTGTTTATAAATTTTGTATTCCTAACCTTGAAAGTCACTTACTTTGCAAAAACGAATCATAAATTTATCTACCGCATAAACCCTTCGAAAGTTTCTATTTCATTTGGGTGCATTTTGAATAAATCCAAGTTGGTTCTATTGATTTAAGCTGTTGCCATGACCGGTCGCTCAATTAGCACAGCTCTGTGCCGGCTCAATGCCTGCCGCACTAATCTCCCTATTGACTTTGGACCCCCTCCCGCCTCTGAAAACATGGGTGCCCGGGCCCCCTCTTCCCCCCTTTTTATACCCCTCCACTGGCATCAGGAGCCGCAACTGAAAAGCGGCGATAAGCAAATTTCCGGCGCGCAAAATTTAAACAAAGAGAGAGAAATTTGTTAGATGAATGGATGATGGGGGGGCTACCAGGCACAGTTTTATAACTTGTGGCCAGATCTTAGCCCCGGAGCCTTCTGCATAATGTTGATGATGGTTGGCACTGGCAACAGTGCAAACAATGGGCATAAGCCCCCAGCTGGCGATGATGAAACGGGGGGGAGGAGGGGTTGAGGGATCCGAGTTGCCTTGACGCCTTTGTGCGAATTCCCAGCAAGCGTTGAACTATGACCGAAAATGCTAAAGCCAAGCCAGAACCAAAGTCGAAAGCCGAAACCAAAGCCGGCTTATGGCGTTGGAGTTCCAGCCTTGTTCTTAGCCACCCAGCCCATTCCGAAATTGGTAGCTGCTGCCAAGTGATGATATTATTAATATTATTAAAACTAATTTCATGAATTTAAATCTTTAGCCACTCCAGATGGAGATGGAAATTGGCTTGGTCTTCTTTGGAGGCCTCTTGGTGAAATTGCAAAAATGGCTTCCATTTAAAGAATTTTATAAAATTGTATGTTACTTAAAATAAATAAAACAAATAAATTCTATAGGTTCAACCAAATATATTTTATATTTTTTTATAAATGAGAAATATAATATTTCAATTACTAAAACTTATTTTTACTTTCTTACACAAATAAAATAGACATACGTTTCATTTATTAAGTTTTCCAAGGCTATATTTTCTAAAATAAATTAATTTCATAGTCTTGGCGAATTTCTTGGACGGTTGCAAGTGCAAAACTTTGATATATTAATCATCCGACCCGATGTCCCGGCAATTAAGACATCTGCGACAATATTAATGGGCGCAAAAGATTTCAAAGTAGGACGGGAAAAACTTTACAATTAATTAGGCAACAGATGATGGACGATGATTATAGTTGGCCAGAGCCGTAAATGAAAGATGTCTCCATTTGTCTGGTCAGCGATTTAATGACGGCCATAAAAGAATTACGAAAGGCTGAGAATACAGGTCTGCGGATACCGAATGATTAGATGACGATGATGATCAAAGCTAGCTGCTAATGCCGAACAACTCCCACCCATTTAACTACTATAATCACCCTCTGGCAACGGATTCATTTCAGAACTTCACTTCATTATGAGGCAGTTTACCTGGACGAGCTTCAATTGGCATAAATCAGAGGCCTTTTATGGCTAAAGTGTCGTCCAATTTCGGAAACTTTTCCCCCCGTTTTCAATGGGGCGTTAGTTTTCCTACCACCATGTTCTGCAATTTTTCTTCATTAATGCGTAGTTACGCAATTTCCGTATACAAAAAGTTTTCTACTCGTTGCGTTAATTTTGGCCAATTCAGACGTAGTAGCACCAGCTGAAATGGCCCACCCCTCGATTTCCCCCTGACTTTTCCTATTCCGTATGGCCACCCGCACCCCTTCAAGTATCATCATTCCGGTTTTTGTGGTCGTGCCCGGCCTATTTCGAGTCTTTTGCCAAAATTAGTTCCGCCCCTCGATTTATATTGTCATTTCGTGCGTTTCGATTGTGTAAAGCAATTTCCCCGCAGTCGCAGAGATGGATGTCAGAAGGGGGGTGGGATTTTCCCGGGGAATCACCCAGTAGTTTCGGTTGAGTTCTAGTCTGTCTGTCTGTGCGGCTGGTTTTCGGCTTAGCTATTCCATCAAGTTACGGCATTGCGGCGTGTCCTGTTTGCCCTCTCCCTCCCCAAAAATGGAAATGGCAATGGAAATGTTGACTGCAATACAATTGTAATTCCCCCCACCATATGTGTGTGTTCGGACCAAGGTGCATAAATTAGGCCAGTCATTTACTGTTAATAGCAGTTGGCAGCAGCAGCAGCAGCTGCTCCAGTTGCCCAATGTTGTGTACTTTTCAAATTACTTTGCGTTTGCCAACTTTGACCCGAGTAGATTGGCAACTTTGGCAGCTTTTGGTTTTGCGCAATATTCGAGATGGAAGGAAGGAATGTATTTTAAGAAGATTACCTAAAAACCATTTGGATTTTTAAAATATTTAAAACTATTCACAGCAGGTTTAAATAAGGGAATTTTAAATTGTGATTAGCAGTTGATTTTACTTAAGAAAATACATATCAACTTTGCTTTTTGTTTAGTTTTTGGTTTGTGTAGAAAGGCTTTGCAATAATCTTAATTATTTAATTATTGAAACAAGGAAATTGGATCTGTTACTAATTTTTTTATGGGCTAACATAACGTACATTCTGGATACTCTTTTAATTTTAAATGAGATTCGGTCATTAAAAAAAATGGTTTTTAATTAATAGTATCTTCAAAACGCACTACAGAGTCTTTTTGATTAATCATAATACGATTATTAATAACAGGAAAATCTATATTTTTAATTTGGCTTACATCATATAATCAGAGACGCCGCCACTAATTCAATTGGCCAAAATTGGATTACCTTGTTGAGGCTATCAACTATAATTTCGGGTATTCAATAAGCGTTGTGCGTTCGAGGCGGCCGATTTCAAAGCAACAATTGGTCTAATCCAAATAATGGAATTTTGAAGCCGATGCCTCTGGCAGACCCAGCTTCAATTTCCGAAAGCTTCTGCATAGCCCATTCCATTCATCCCACTCAATGCCTCCATGTGGCTGGCTGTCCATCAGTTTCGATTTGAATGAGGACTAGGATGAGGATGAGGATGCCGATGAGGATGAGGGTGGAAGTGGGGCTACCATGAGGGCTGTCAGCCTCAATTTCGGGCCAGCCACTTGGCCATTGTTCGAATTTTGACATAAGCAAAAATCCCAGCTCAATGCCCATACCCAGCTTTTCTCCCAATTGGTTGGGTGCACTGCGATTTAATTATTCATTTTGAAACTAAAGTAGATTTACAAACTATAGATTACAAAACGTAATATAAATGTAGGCGCTCACAGAAAAATGTATATTTATTTTAAGCACAATCTTATAAATTTTCTAAATAAATTTCATTTAAATAGAATGTTTTAAATATACGAGTAAATACATCTAATCAAAGATGCATGAAAACTATTAATAAGATTTAAGGATATTTCTATCTTAACAAAGGATTTTATAAATGAACTATTGACATTTTTTGGACATACCTTATTTAGACTTTGATTTATTTTTCTCCCAGTGTGGCTCTAAACATGATGCTCGGATTATGAGCTGCGCTTTGACTACGTCAATTGCAGTCCAGTCCGATTCAGAAGCGTCCGATTCAGTCCACTTTCATTCAGTTGCGTTTGGACATGAATTGAGTGAGCTGCTCGAAGGGTTGCGGGGACTTGGTTCTTACCGTCTCTCTAATTAAAATTGATTACCATAATTTTGGGTATTGATTGGCCTCGAACACGCACAATGACCATGCCAAGTTCCCCACAATTCTCACCCATTCAAATGTTAACAGTTTTGACCCGCGATGTCTTTGTTTTGTATCCGACACCTTTTCCTGGTGCGCCCATCCAACTATTAATTAGCCGCACGCAATTGGTTTAGGCCGGACTTATCGATTACCTTACCTTAAGTTTTCCAGCCAATTGTGGGTGGTTGGCGACCACGTCAAAAGGTTTTCCGGGAACTTCGATGTCACATGTGTGTGGGGCCTTATGACTTATTTATGCCGCTGATTGTTTCTGACATCTGTTGTAATTGACACTTTTCGCAAGGTTCTCTAATGGACGACGGCGTGCAACAAGACCGCAAAAGCCACTGTCAGACCGCAATCTCATTCATACGACCCCATACACCCATTCCATCCGACAATCCATCAAAATAGTCTACCCTATCGAAGACATCCCTAATGGCAGCAATTTCTAGTCGCAGACGTACGAGCAAACATTGTTTGCAAAATATCCAATTACATTTGCATTTTATTATGGTTTAAAGGGAGACAGAAGCCAGAAATAAGAATAGAGTAGGATATTTATCAATTTGATATATTCAACTAATAAATAAAATGTGGAATGCGATATCTACGATATGAGAGTATTTAACATTCTTTTTTTGTTACATAAATTAAACATAATCCTAAAAGCTTTTCGTATAATTCTTGAATATATTAAAATCGTTTCAGTAATAGTAAGATTCTGTAAATTTTAAATGGACCAAAAAAGGTGTTGTTTATTTTTATTTGTGTAGCTTTTCAATCGTTTTCATTTAGTGACTTTTGAACTTTACTTACATAAATATACAGAATAGCTTGAATCTTTCAGCCTGTTTGAATAACAAAGCCTTAATATTTAAATTAAAATAAACAATACATAAATATGTAATCAAGAAAAACTATTTACTATGAGAATATTTAAGTTGTATAGCCATTCACCCAAAAATAAAGACTGTTTATCTCCTGACTATCCCCGAATTGCTCAGTCATTTTCGCACTCTCTGGTAATGTTTATCCTGCGATTC